CCGCTGTGGTTCTGAGCCTCGTGTGTTTAAATACCCGCTGTGGTTCTGAGCCTCGTGTGTTTAAATACCTGCTATGGTTCTGAGCCTCGTGTGTTTAAACACTTGCTATGGTTCTGAGTCTGATGCCTTTAAATACCCTTCTCTCAGTGCTGTCCCATGACTCGCCCCAAAAGGGAGTTTTGGGCTTGGCTCACCCTGGAACGCCGCTAACACCATGTGATGCCAGCAGGTTAATGAGTGATCAGGCCCAAAGGAGGAAGAATTTGGCAAGCTCTTTTCCCCCAAAGAGCTGCCCTTTTTGACACACCTTATAATCTGACCTCTCTGGTCAAAGACATTTGAAAAAATGATGACGACAAAATAAAACCATACTCTCGGGTTCAATGCATGTCCACTTTCTAAGCCATTAAAGAAACCAGGCCGAGCGTGGCGGCTCATGCCTGTCACCCCAGGACTTTGGGAGGCAGAGGTGGGTGGATTACCTGAGGTCAGGGGTTCAAGACCAGCCGGGGCAACATAGTGAAACCCAGTCTCTACTAAAAATACATATATATATGTGTGTGTGTGTGTGTGTGTGTATATACTAAAATACATATATGTATATATATTTACATATATAAATATGTAAATATATAAATATATACACATATTTATACATGCGTGTATATTTATATAAATATGTATATATATGTATATATACAATATATTATGTATTATATTAGTATATATTATATATCGTATATATTATATAATATATATACACACATATATATTATATATGTTATATGTATGTACATCTATAATTTTATAAATACATATAATTAAATATATACATACATACATATACATACAAGTGTGTCTATATTACATATATACACATATATAAATATTGGTGTATATATATACACATAAAAGATTAGCCGAGTGTAACAGTGGGCACCTTAATCTCAGGTACTCTGGAGGCTGTGGCAGGAGAATCAATTGAACTGGGGAGGCAGAGGTTGCAGTGAGCTGAGATCACGCCACTGCTCTCCAGCCTGGGTGATAGAGTGAGACTCTATCCAAAAAAAACCAAAAACAAACAAGAAGCCTAACTGATGTTGTTTCACCCTGGATTTCCTAGTATTTATTTGAGCTGTAACATACCTTCTAGGCAAAACACCCGTTTGCATCCATCTAAACGCGTGTTCCTGAAACCGCAGTTGCAGAATGTCATGGTGCTGCGGAGAGGGGAATGAGCAATCCTTAGCGCGAAGTACGAGCCGTGGCCTGTGGTCACATTCGTGGCACAGTCTGCCAGTGTACACAGGGGTGTTCCCAGAGCAAAAGCCCCCTCGAAAATGCTGTTTCCATCCTGACGTTTTAATGCACATTTTAAACCTTATGCTCTTCATGGTTCTCACATGCAAATTATGACAGCAGGGTTCCCGCATCACTGTCATTATTTAAAAGTAGAATGTCAAGTGCATTTGCACTTTTTGCCGATGCAGGCTTAAAAAAATGGGTCTTCAATGGATAGCTTTATTCTGGCAAAATGCCTGTCAAATTACATGCTAGGGCCAAGAGAAAACCCATCAAAGACACATTTCACAATGGTGTTATATCTCCCTCAAAAACCTCTCTCTTTTTTTTTTTTTATTTTTGCAGTTAATAGTTTCTGGATGACTCTACAAGCCACTGTGCCTTTTCCTTTTTTCCCTTTTAGCTGGAAATAATGACAGCAAAGCCGAGGAAGCTGTAAGAGAACTAAAAGAAGAAACGCTGAACGTCAAAGGTATCGGGAGATGCTGCAGTGGGTTTTTCTCTTGGGACAGGTGGTTTGAGCGGTTCATGGCCGAGTTTCTCTCGTGTGCCAAGCGGCATTCGGGAGAGAGGTCTCAGCTTTTCGCACTCCTGTTTCGGGGATTTCTAGTCCCATCGTACAGAAGGAAATGGTAAACGCAAGGTGAACATAGCATCGCTCAGCTCCAATGCCTGCTAGGAAAAGCGTGTTGGGATGCGCTGGGGGCCTGCTCTCTTACTCAGATGTGTGTTCCATGCGGATCAGGAGCCATTTTACTTTCTCGTTGACCTCAGGCCACCTGCCAGGAGATGCCTCTGCAGGTGGGGAGTTCTGGCCTTAAGACACATCAAACAGGAACGTGTTTGCCCTAAGATCTTCGACCAGGTGCTAGAGCAAATTTGTGTGTGCGCCTTCTGCCTGTTCAAACTGCAGAAGGGAACGTGTGCACACAACTGCTATTCTAGTATCCTTCCAGGTTCGAAATGCCATTTTCTTGTATTTATTGATTATTTTTCATGTGTATACATTTAGGGGTACAAGTAGAGTTTTGTTACGTGGATAGGTAACGCAGTGGAGAGGTCTGGGCTTTAGTATGACTAGTGCTGAACGATGTACGTTGTACCTGACAGGTAATTTCTTTTCATCTCTGCTTTCTTTTCTTTTCCTTTTTGTTTTGAGACAGAGTTTCACTCTTGTTGCCCAGGCTGGAGTGCAAATGGCACGATAACAGCTTACTGCAACCTCCAACTCCCGGGTTCAAGCGATTCTCCTGCCTCAGCCTCCCGAGTAGCTGGGACTACAGGTGCCCACCACCATGCCTGACCGAGTTTTGTATTTTTAGTAGAGATAGGGTTTCACTATGTTGGCCAGGCTGGTCTCTAACTCCTGACCTCGGGTGATCTGCCTGCCTCAGCCTTCCAAAGTGCTGGGATGACAGGCGTGAGCCACCGTGCCCTGCTCCAAGAGGTCATTTCTTATCCCTCGCCCCTCTTCCACCCTCCCACCTTCGGTGTCTCCAATATCTGTTATTCTACTCTCTGTCCATGTGGGGCGCATTATTTAGCTATCACTTATAAGTAATAACACCGGTATTTGACTTTCTGTTTCTGAGTTGTTTCACTCAGGATGATGGCCTCCAGTTCCGTCCATGTTGCTGGGAAAGAGTGGATTTCCTTTTTCACGGCAGCATAGTATTCCATTGCATATAGATACTATATTCTCTTTCTTTTCTTTTCTTTTGTCCACTGTAGCAGATACTATATTTTCTTTATCCTTTCATCTGTTGTTGGACAGCTAAGTGGTTTCCATATCTTGGCTCCTGTGAATAGTACTGCAGTGTACATAGGCATGCCAGTGTCTCTTTGACACACTGATTTCATTTGCTTTGAGTCCATGCTCAGTAATGGGATTGCTGAATTATTTGCTGCCCTTATTTTTAATTATTTGGGGAAACTCCATAGTGTTTTTCATTCTGGCTGTCCTAGTTGACATTCCCACCTGTGGTGTACGAGGGACTCTTTTCTCTACACTCTCCCGACACTTATGATCAAGTATCAAAATCATCATTCTGGCCAAGCACCGTGGCTCACACCTGTCATCCTAGCCCTTTGGGAGGCTGAGGCAGGCGGACCACCTGAGGTCAGGAATTGGAGACCAGCCTGACCGACATAGTGAAACCCCATCTCTACTGAAAATACAAAAAGTAGCTGGGTGTGGTGGCAGGTGCCTGTAATCCCAGCTGCTCAGGAGGCCGGAGAATTGCTTGAACCCAGGAAGTGGAGGTTGCAGTGAGCTGAGATGGCGCCATTGCACTCCAGCCTGGGTGACAGAGGGAGACTCCATCTCAAAAACAAAACAAAAACAGAAATATCATTCTGACAATCTCCATTTTAACCGGTGTGAGATGATAGTCCTGGTGGTTTTGATTTGCAGTTCCCTGATGGTTGGTGATGCTGAGTACCTTTTCATATAAACACCTTTTTACATACCTGTTGGGCCACACGCATGCTAAGTACGTTTCTGAGCAATGTATGTGTGTGGTACCTTATGCTAAAAAAAAATGCATGTCACCTCTTCGGCTGTTTTAATTTGAGATGGTGTATTGAGAATTCCCGCAAAGCAGGGGATGGGTGTATTTGGATTCTTTATTTTTTTCTTCCACATGATAAAATTTATTTGTTATTTTATTTTTTAATTTATTTATTATACTTTAAGTTCTGGGGCACATGTGCAGAGCGCGCAGGTTTGTTACACAGGTATACACGTGCCGTGGTGGTTTGCTGCATCCATCCCCCCATCATCTACATTAGGTATTTCTCCTAATGCTCTCCCTCCCCAATCCCCCCACCCCCTGCTGTCCCTCCCCTAGCCCCCAGCCCCCGACAGGCCCCAGTGTGTGATGTTCCCCTCCCTGTGTCCATGCGTTCTCATTGTTCAACTCCCACTTATGAGTGATTCTTTGTTTCTTTGTTTTTTGAGATAGAGTCTCACTCTGTCACCCAGGCTGGAGTGCTGTGGTGTTATCTTGGCTCACTGCAACCTTGGCGTCCCAGGCCCAAGTGACTCTCCTGCCTCAGCCTCCCCAGTAGCTGGGAACACAGGTGTGTAGCCACACACTCAGCTAATTTTTGTAGAGTTGGGGTTTCGCCTTGTTGCCGAGGCTGGTCTTGAACTCCTGGGCTGAAGTGGCCGTCCATTCACCTCGGCCTCCCAAAGTGCTGGGATCGCAGGCGTGAGCCACTGTGCGCTGCCTGTTTTGATTCTTTGTCATAAGCTGTGCGAGTGAAATGAACCCTGCCCAGGGCGGAGCCTGATCACCGCCTTTGCACATGTCTCCTCCTGGTCTGCCTGAAGCTGCTGTGAAATACCTGTTTTCTCTGCCGAGGGCTGGGTGTGTCGGAACGTCATGCCAGCATTGCTGGATCTCTTTGATTTTCAGGAACACACACGTGGGGGTTTCCCCTCAGCCAGAGCCCAGCCCGGTATACAATATCAGGAAGTTGCAGCGGGCTGGTGAGACATTTCCTTCTCAGTAGGATCTCCCTTGGGGCAAAAGGATTGGTTTCCGTGACAGTAAATCCCATTCCCTGCCATTCTCCGCCACGTTGGCCCTACCTCATTTGCAGCAGTT